GCAGTCCAGCCTCCGCCGTCCGCACGCTTGTTCCGCCCCCTGCCCCCCTACTTTTAATGGAACAACCTTCTTCCTGACCTCCCCGCCGTGCAAGCAAATGGGCTCGTCCACATCCGGGGCCCAGAGGAAGAGGCGTGCCGGTCACGTGGTGCAGCGCCGGGTCGGTAAGGGTTTCCCGCGCCCCTAGCCTCGCTTTTGGAGAGCGGGAACGAGCTCGTTCCTCAGCGTCACACTTCCCCTCCACTCCCATCGGCCGAGGCCGCTGTCTTCACTTCGTCCTCCTCCTCACTGCCCTTACCGCTGGCCAGGTCGGGTAGAAAGGGGCTTGCGTGGTGGGCCGGGACCTGTACCTCCCCCGCCTCCACTTTTGGTCTATCCAGCCCAAAGCCGGAAGTGGGTGCTGTGGGCGGCCCCACACAGCCGTACGGATGGTGGTGGCCTGCGAGGGTCATTTCTAGCGAGGGAAAAGCCCTTCTTGCTTTGATCTTGTCACTAAGTATTTATAAAACACAGAGATGGATAAAACGTGCCCCTACCCCGGCTAACGCACTCACCGCGTGTCTCGGAAGAGCGTGGAACCTGCGGTGTGACCAGCTCCCAATCGGGGACCACTCAGTGCGCGCTGGGAGCTGGGAGCTGCACAGGAGGGGGCGCTGTGCTCTGCCGGGGGCTTGCAGAAGGCCTCCTGCAGGAATCAAGTTTTTTAGATCATTTGGGGGGGGGCGGGGGGGGAGAAAGGAACGAGCATTTCGGGATTGGGACAACCACACGTGTAAGTTTGTTCAGGAAACTGGTAGTGGTTCATTCTGCCCAGTGTAGCAAGGGCTTGGGACAGGGGCCGCGTCCTGGACGCAGTGCCTGCCTCGATGCTTTCCAGCCCCTTAAGAGTGGAAACACCTTAGCACCTTACTCTAGAAATAGGGTGTTGACCCGGGTGATCTTAGGCCCACGTTGAGTTTGAAAGGAAAAGTACAGGTTATTATGGGGGATAGAGGCTTTGAAGTGTAGAGGATGGAAAGTAGGATAGCCTTAGAGGTGTTGGAAAGAGTGACAGGTGAAAAAAGATTGAGGCCAAATAGGGGAAAGATGTGTTGAGTCACTGATACAAAATGTACACATTAACAGTTGGAGGTGATAATCCCTGAGCAGTCTGTCACGGAGCCAACCAAGTATGGTTAGTGGATAATAAGAACAAGAAGGAAGTGTTCAAGGGCAGAATGCTGCTGAAGCCGGGGTCATTTGAGAAAAATTTATGAAAAAGGTAGAATCTTTGTGGGCACCGGGAAAATCATCAGGTTTTGATCAGCAGAGAATAGGGAGGACGGTATCCCAGAGGCCAGGGCATCAAGGTCAGAGGCGTGGCAGCAGGAAAAAGGGGGGCTCTTGTAGGACAGGGACTCCAGAAACATAACGAACTGAGGGTAAGGACCCCCTGTGTGTAAATTTTCTAAAGACGGGGTCCTTGTTTTGAGTTATTTACTGGGTAATGCTGGATTAATTCTTGTGGGCAACATTAAGACCTCATCTGGTTCAGTGGTGCACCTTTTGCTTCAGTTTTGTCTGCATCCTTATCATGGGGGTAAAAAAACCCTTCCCCTCATCCCACCTGCATAATTATTATCCACGTGTCAGGGCAATCTTGCAGTCATACTGTTGGAGACATGCACAGGCCTACATGAAGGAGGTGGATTCCTCTCCCAAAGATGGTTTCTTGTATGAGTTTTCATGCTCCTAGAGGTAGGAGTGACTGCGAGTACCTTTGGTGCCATTGACCAGCAGGCCATCAGGATGGCTGTTTTGTAGCAGGGAGCACAATAGGGTGATGCCTGTGATGAAGAATAGCCCAAACTTGGAAACAAGGAACCCAGAGGTATCTTCCAAGCTGGCGATAGCTGTGTAGGGAAAAGTAAAAGGGGGGTGGGGGGATCAGCATGATAAGTATCTTGACCAGGCATTAAAGGGCGTGCAGCATTAAGAGTCACCCCAAAGGGAAGGGAAAGCAAGCAGCATGGAGCCCTACCACTATTGCTCCCCTGGAGATGCTGCTTTCAGGGCCCAGCCTGAGTACCACCTTAAGATAGGAGGCCATGTATTTAGAAGCCCAGCTGAGGATTTCTGTCGGGTCTGTGGTTGGTCACTTTGTATAATTCAATGTTATCATTTAGCTTCTTGGGCTAAGAATGCCAACATTCGAGGCAAGGCAGGTGGTGACTCTTGTAAAAATGGTGCAGGAAACGCTACAGGGACCAGAGAGGAGACTTGCTTATGAGCCAGGGACTCACCAAAGGCATCCTGAAAGGGAAAGGTGAATGTGCCAGTGGGGAAAGGAAAGCTGCATTCGAGATGTGCTGTGGCCTTATAACAGAGGCCCTCAAATGTATTGCCTTCCTGTCACATGCCACTGGTCTGGGCCATGTCCTATGTTCAGTGTACACTACAAAGCATTTATCAGCTGGAGGGGGAAGAGAAAGGAGGGACTGTGATTATATATAAATAAGTTGTCACCTGACCCAGATGAGAAGACGAGTCTTTCCCAGGGTGATATTATGTCAGACGACACATCCAGGCTAAGAAGCCTGGGGGACCCTAGTGCTGGATTACATCACCTCCTGAGTCTGTGTTTTAGAAATAACCTCTTTGACTGACAGGTTTGACAAGATCAGAGCTGCAGGAGAATGGACAGTGAAGTACAGAGAGATGGAAGGATCTTGGATTTGATTGATGATGCTTGGCGAGAAGATAAGCTGCCCTACGAGGATGTGGCAATACCACTGGTAGGCTGTCATTTGTGCTGGGGGGAATGGGTCAGAGGGCGCTGGCAGAGGTAGAATATCAATGGGCAGATAAACTAGTAAGGCAAAGAAATCAAAGCTGTAGAGTCCACTGAATAGAAGCTTCTGGAGAGCATCTAGACCAGCAGTTCTCAACCTGTGGGTCGAGACCCCTTTGAGGGTTGAATGACCCTTTCACAGGGGTCACCTAAGACCATCGGAAAACGTATATAATTACATATTGTTTTTGTGATTAATCACTATGCTTTAATTATGTTTAATTTGTAACAATAAGAATACATCCTGCATATCAGATATTTACATTACGATTCATAACAGTAGCAAAATTACAGTTATGAAGTAGCAACAAAAATAATTTTATGGTTGGTGGTCACCACAACATGAGGAACTGTATTAAAGGATCGCAGCATTAGGAAGGTTGAGAACCACTGATCTAGACTTTTTACTTAAAGAAAAATGTGGTTCAGAAAGCTGATGTGACCTTAGTTAGGGGTCATTCCAGGACTGGAACCCAGGTCTTCTGAGCCTTTTCTGTCAATTACACCAAAGCCAGTAAGCCAGATAATGAGGGTTTGATGCATAAGATGGGGAAGAATACAAAGCAGTGCCATATAAGCTATATGGTATTTCTTACTTCCCTACCACTGGCTTGTTGACATTAAAAACTCACATGCTTAGAACATACACCTATCCTAAGTTCCCTGGAAAATAATTTAAAAAATCTGGCTTTTCTCCTTTTGCCTTTGGATCAATAGGCTCCTGGAATACACTTGTCTGCTCTCTGTGAAACTGCCCTGCAAAGAGCTTGTTAAACTTATGTAGTAAATTATCTAAAAGCTTAGCTTGTATAAGTGCTTATTAAATATTCTATTTATATCATAGAGGAATGCTTTTCTTTGAAGTATGCCAACTATCCTGAGAAGAGCTGTTACTAAGATAGAGCTTACGGATAGACTGCTGCTGCTATTACAGAGAAAGAAAATCTAGCTCAACAATGTTTTCATTTAAGAATAAGAGATGATAATATGTTCAATGAGTAATATACATATCACATAATAAATCACAGCTTATTTCAACTTTAGAAAAATAGTCAAAAGAGAGGGTCATGAGAATTATAGCTGCCATTTAGTGAAAACCAGTTTTATGCCATGGACGGAGATTGAAATTGGACATACATTCTCTCTAATCTTGAAACAGCCTTGCAAGATGGTGCTGTTATCCCCATTTTACAGGAAAGAAATAGGATCAGAGAGGGGAACCTGCCCAGGGTTGGGTAGCTGATAAGTTGGACTTCACACCTGGGTCTGTGAAGCTCCAGATCCTATCCTGTGAACTTCGATTTCTGTCATTCCATAAGCATGTCTTTGGAAGCTTGTGTGTGCCAGATTATGGAAACATAAGATACAGTTTCTGCCCCTGCGGGTCTAAGGAGGAAGCACACAAAAATAAATAATTATTATAATAAGGGTTTTAAGGGGGTTGTCATGAACAGCTACCGTGGTATAGGAAGTGACTCCTAGTCTAGGAGAAGCCACAGAGAGAAAGTAATGTTTAAGCTGGTCATAAGGGAGGACCAGCAGTTTAGTGGGGGTGGACAAGGGCACTCCAGCAGTGGGGACTGTGCAGAGGCTCAGAGCTTTAAAGTCTTTGAAAGAGAGTGAGGGATGGGGAAATACACTGCGTTTTCATAGAGTAGCTGCAAAGAATTGTGGTCATTTTTACAGTGTACCATAATAGATGGTTGCATTTATGATACTTTGTGTTTGTTTTCCAAGCACATATGCAATTTTATATGTTGGCATTCATTGCCAAGGGACAATCGTGACCAAATGAAAGACATCATTTTAGAACACATACCACAGATGGGATGAAATTAAGCAAAGTTGCCTGCTTCTGAATTAAATAATTCATTAAGCAAGGACTTGTTTATGCTTTGTCAGCTATAACTAATTATTGGAACCAAACTTTCACTTTAAGTTTAAGTGTATTATTACTTTGCAATAAGTGATAGTTTCTCTCAGCTTGTAGAGCAAGATGTATCTGATTCAAATATGCTTATCATATTATAAATAAATCGTTTTATATATATATTAAAATAATTCTAAAGGAGAAGAACATATTCATATACTGCAAATTGGAATCCATTGGAAAATCATAAGTCTGGATAGTGAATAACAGTTTGCTAACCCTAAAAGAAATGTAAATTCAGATAATTAAAAAGAAATATATTGGTATCAGTGAACTCTGATACAAAGCAGAGTCCTGGTAGTAATACATTTACATTTAAAATATAAGGAAACTCTCTTAAAAGTTCTCACTACACACACAAAAATGGTAACTATGTGAGGTAATGGATGTGCCAACTAGCCTTATTGTGGTAATTATTTCACATTATATGTGTAGCAAATCATGTTGTACACCTTAAACTTGCAGAATGTTATATGTAAATTAAACCTCAATAAAGCTGGGAGGATATATATATGGAAATTATTCCACATTCTACACTAAGTGTGGCCCATGGCTTAGCATTTTAAGAAAATGCTGGCTGGATATGCATTGGTCATTTGCCCGGCTCCACCACTAGGGGGTAGTCTCATATTATGCTACATTTTCACTGCTCCCCACTTAGCTCCATTATAATCTAGGCATGCTGGGTGCAGGGTAGTTTCTTAATACATTTCTTGTGCTTAAGGAATATGCCAGCAAATGTGATATTCTATTAAGGCAGCCCCTTAATAGAATTTTAAAAAAGACTCTTTTCTGTTTCCCCAGCCATTGACAATAATAGCAAATATTCCTTGAACATGGACGTCCTGCATAGTGCTAAGCACTTGAGCTAAATCACAGTGTTTAGTCTCACGGCAGTCCTAGGAGGTGATGGCCACATTTCTCTTATTTTCAGAGAGGAAACAAAGACTCCAAGGGGTTGAATACCTTGCCTGAGTAACCCAAGCGGTAGAGTGGTGGGCTTGGATCCCGGTAGCTTCCGAAAGCTGTGCCCTTAGCCTCCTGCACAAATGCTAGAGCCATGAGACCATCATTCCTTCTGGAGAGGACCTGAATGATACTTCCTCACACCTTTTCTAGCTATTTCTTTAGGATACATTTCTGCCAATTATGCTACCTGTTTCTAGGAACTCCAATTCTACGTGCTCTTGAGTTTTAAGGGGTTTGTTAATGTACAGTTTACTGTTGTCCTGAATATCCACTGTACCTTTTCAGAATGAGCTTCCTGAACCTGAGCAGGACAACGGTGGCACCACAGAATCTGTTAAAGAACAAGAGATGAAGTGGACCGACTTGGCCTTACAGTACCTGCACGAGAACGTCCCCCCGGCAGGAAACTGACCCCTGGCTCCCTTCTCATGGACAGAAAATTTTTTTTAATACAGAATGTTTTCTTTCAGTCTCCTTATTGAAATCTTTTAGTGATCCAACACTCAAAAATGTACACCCACTTAATTTGTGGCAGCAAAGTGCAATGTGGAAATACCAGAATGGGAAATTGGTTGAGATTTCTCAGGAATGCAGAATATTTGGCTCTTTGAACCTAAAGTTCTTCATTTGCTAGCTTGTGTTTAAACATGTTTGGTTAAACATTTGCCTTTAATTTTGCTTTACTGTCCGAGTTTAACACTTCCCATCTGCTTGTGTGTGTCCTGTGACAGGTGCTTGAAGATATGAGAGGAAAAGGCGAAGGGAGGGAGCCAGGCTAAGGAGAATGACTAACTTCCCATGTACCCCATTTGGAGACGCAGTCTGAGTGGGTGTGGAGATGTATTAGCCATTCTGAAGCCCATTCACTGACTGCTGGGATGCCTGAGATTCCCCGTGATGGTTTCATACCTTGGATACTTTTATAAATTAAACAGAATCTGACATTTCCTCTTCTCTCCCCACCACCTTTGATGCTTCTGGAAAGGATCTTCAGCTAGATGAACCACTGGTTTTACCTAGTAATGGGATTTACTTTCTCAGAGCCCTTTGAGATATAACCAGAACACCATGGAGCCAGTATTTAGTTATAAATTGTATGAGAACTTGTACTTTGCAAAACACTTCTGTTACCTCCTTGGAATTATTTGCCTCCGTTAAGTGGTGTCTGCCTTGTTCTCTGTCTAGATTGTGAACTCTGGGAGGAAGTCCTGGCTTATACTTATGTGTCCATCATTGAAAAACTGAAAACACTGAGTAATTGAAATCTCTTCTCATCCTGTTTTCACTGGGTCCTTCTGTTTACCTAGCTCTTAGGAGGAAGAAGTAAATCACAAACAAGTGAGCTGATTTGGGGATTTCAGTAGAAACCTTGTGTAACAACTCTCCTGTGATCCAAACATCCAGGTGAAAGCATGTGTGTGTTCTGTGTGGGAGGCACAGGCTTTGTGCAGGGAATACAGCAATGAACACAATAAACAGGGCCTCTGCCTTTGTTTAGTAGGATAAACAAGCATTGAACCAAGAGCCATACAAAGTTATAATTTCAAATTGTGACATTCTAGGAAGAAAAATTGGATGTCACTTGGGTGCAAAGCCTGAGGCAGAGTTTCTGATGCAAAGAATTTCTAGAGGCTGCTGTGCTCGGGAGCAGCAGGATAGGGCAAGGGGAAAGGTGAGCAAAGATGTGACTTCAGCTGAAGTCTAGCCTAAGGCAGACCCCACAGCAGCTGTGAAAGTGGTGGCTCCGAGTTTTTGAGACCAGAGGCTAGGCCTTTTACGCAGTATGCCTGTTGGTCAGGGGATGTGGCTCTGCAGAGAACAGTGCAGCCCTGAGAAGCCAACACAGTATCCAGGGAATGGGCACACAGACCAGGTAAAGCGGGTCTGGGCCCTGACTGGGGGGACCTGATTCAGATTGGGCCATTATGGGTAGATCTTGTGATAAGTAGCTTTTCTAGCACGTAATTTGAAGTTGAATTGTGTTTCTGAGTGTTTCTCACTCTCCAAGGAAGTGGCCAGGCCCTTTATGCTTCCTGTCCATAGCAGAAAGCAAACATGCCCGAAAATAAGCCTACCTCTTGTTTGGGAAGCAGGGAAGGAGAGAAGGAGCCTCTTAGAAGTAGAAAGCTGTGCCCAGTCACTGGTGGTATTCAGTAACATGGTTTGGGGTGCCCCAAAGGAGACCTAAAGCTCAATTCTGAGTCTTCCAGCCAAGGCCAAGATCCTGCAGCATTGGAATCACCTTCTTAAAGGGCCCCTCAGCGTTGGCAGTGAGGACAGGAGCAGTGACCCAGGTGGACGGAGAGTGCTAGTAGAGGTCCTCACTCATGTTCCAGGTCATTCATGAGCATCCTAAATTCTGGTGAGACCCTAAGAGAAGGAAAGAATACTCCATGACTACAGCTTCAGTGCTGCACAGTGAGGCCAAAAAGATTTGAAGGACGTGTGATATTTCTTGTACCCTCCTTGAGTGTGTGAGGCAACACCTGGAGGATGGGTAGGAGTAGCCAGAGGAAGAACAGGGGATAAAGAGTGATTGCAGAGAAAAAAAATTGCATAGATCTGGGAGGTGGGACTGGCATTACAAGGAAGGTGGGGGGCAGGCAGGAGGAGGTGGGGTGGCCTGATGAGATTATATTTTATCTTTTTAAATATAAGTCCCTCTGTTTTTGAGCAGGCAGGAGTAGAAGTGGGAAGACAGAAGAACTTTGCTTGGCTCAGGTGAGAGAGGATGGTGGCTTGGGCTAACAGGATGGAGGTGGAAATAAAGGAACTTGGAATACCTCTTAGAAGTAGAATTATCCAGATGTGCCCAATGAGAGGCATATTGCATGATGACGGCACCTAGATCGTGTTTGTGTGAACCCTGCCCTTGTAACCCAGGGGTGAATTCTCTGAATCAGACACAGGACTCCAGATGCAGCCTCTGTCCTCTGGAAACATAGAATCTGGGTCCAGGAGCCCCATCCCTTGAAGCCCAAGTTAGACCCACATCTGAATAATATAGTAACAATAACGATGGTTAGCGGAATGCTTCCATGTGCTTCGGACACATGATCTCTAGCCCCCGTGTCCACTTTGAAGGTGGATATTTTTACCCTCCCTGGTCAGGAGATGGCAATTTAAATGACATGTTCCAAGTTAAAGACTTACTCCAAATCACTCAAATTGTAAATGGATTCCAATGTAGGCTGTCTGGTCCCCAAACCCAGGTCCTCTCCCTGGACCACGCGACCTCCCTGTAAAGCCTACTGTGACCACTCCATTCTGAAATGGGAGGAATATTCCATCAGGACATTCAGAATTTCAAAATGTTAACCATGTTTCTATAATTGAGCTAAAGAACTGAAAGAATAATTTTTATTAGGAACCTGGGAGTCATGAAACATTTAAAAATTCAACCTATTACCAAATCCATATATAAGTCATAGCAGCATGAGTCATGCTGTTTTCACTGGTTTTTGTTCAAGGTTAAATCCCAAGTGTGTATTTTCCAATTTGGGTACATTGAGAGTGAACAGTTTAGTAGCCGTGCTAGTTAGTAGCGTACCAGCAGGGGGCGTCAATCCCTATAAGAAAGTCCATCCCTGGCAGATCGCTCAGTAAACTTGAAACTGAAGATACTGAATAAATGTGGTGTTTTGCTTGGAAGTCATTCTGCACATGTGAAGCCCTGGGATTCTGGCCACCCACCCTTGGGCTGGGCAGCTCACCTAGTGGGCTCCTCACTGGTGCTTCATAAGAGGTCAAGTGAGGGCACCTGGAAGGTGAGGGCAGTTCAGAACTTTGCTCACCTGTGACCCCAACTCTTCCTCAGGCCTGGGGACTCTTTCATTAAGTGTTTCCCCATGTTTTGGTGTTAAATCATTTAGATGATTTAGGCATCATTATGGAATGACTGTTTTCCAGACCTTCCTTTAACTTTTTTTTAAATCCTCACTCGAGATTATGTTTTTTAATAGATTTTAATATGTTTTTTATTGATTTTTAGAGATGGGGGAAAGGAGAGGAATAGAGAGATAGAAACATCGATCGGCTGCCTCCTGCCTCCTGCACAATCGAACCCATGACCTCTTGGTTCATGGGTTGACAACCACTGACCCACACTGGCCAGGCCAAAGCTTCCTTTCTTGATTTACCCACAGTTAAATTCTTTCCCCAGTTCCTTGCCACTTCATATGCCATTGGTCAGGTCCTGAGGAAAGCAACTGGGGGGTAAGGGGGTTAGGGGCTGGCACGGAAAGGCAAATGGGTAATCTTGACCTTGGCCTTTGACCCTTAGCCAACAAGTACTGGCTTCATGGCCATGCAACCTGTGCAGTCACACAGGGTCCCACATTCAGATAATTTTTCATCAAGGGACCCATGTTTTCATTTTGCACCAGGCCCAATAAGTTATGTAGCTGGTCCTTAAATCTACGGCAGCCATCTGTAGGGGTTCCCTGTGGGATGGCGACTAACTTGACCCACTGTCTTGAATCTTCTGTCGCCCGGGGTATAGCAATGAAGTTGTCTCAGAACAGAGCCTCTGGCTGAAATTAATTACCAGAAGCACAATTACAGAGCTGGAATAATGATCAACACATTCATTTATGATAGGTTTCTACCTGGATATTTAATTTACCCTTTCATGTTGAACCATATGAAAAAAAAAAAAAAACCCACGTTTTTATAGGTCAAAAATTGTCAGTCACCATTTCCTATGTTTTGAGCTCATTTTATTCTTACCTCGAGCCAGCACATATATACACACACGAGAACCAGATTTGACGGGTAGAGACGGGGAGCCGGCAAAGGGTGGAGAATTTGAAAACAACCAAATGACTCCAAAGGAAGTGAGGGAGTTGGGTGTATAAACCCATCCCAGTTATTCCATGCCTTCCCTGGTGACTCAGATTCCCTTTATCGTGGTGCCACCACCCAAGGGCAAAAGGGGTTTTCCTCCACCCATGCCACGATCTTGCCTCCACTCTCTTGGCATCTCTGCCATGCTCCCTCCCACCCTCATCTCAGTCTCCAGCAGTTCCCTGCCCCCACCCCATGATCACAGATCGGTAGTCACGCTAACTGGCATAGAACCTAACTGTGCAGCACTTCCTGAGGCAGAGTGAGGTGGCAGCATCCCTACCTCTTTGCCAGTAGGACTGCCCTAACATCTGTCAACTAAGACCCACATGGCCACCCCTGGCTCAGCCCAGACAGAAAGGACCATGAGCCAGTCTGGTGAGGCACTTCTCTCCCGGCCCATCTTCCAGGCTCTTGTGTTCCCCACTGCTCTCCTCCCAGCCTCTCTGGGGGCTGTGCAGATGTTGAGACATGCCTTCCTCTTCACTCACAGCTCCTGCTCACCCAGGGCTGCCCTCTGGGGGGCTAGGTGCTCATGTGTCCCAGTTCTGAGCCCAGGAGGACAGGCAGCATTGGCTTTGGGAGTACCAGGAAAATGAGCATCCGGCTGGGTTGGAGAGTCCCAGATGGACTGGACTCTTGGCAGGAGCAAGAAGGGCTGCAGCTCTGGTCCCCACGCCTCCCACCCACTGCTTCCAACTTCTTTGCCCAGTTTCTCTCTTCCTCTCAATCAACCAAGCAATCAATCTTTATCTGTGTGTGTTCCTACTTCATCCTTTCTTAATGTTTTTCTTCCTCGTATTCAAGCATTTATCTAAATACCTTACTCTATGCACTAGACCAGCCGTGGGCAAACTACGGCCCGCAGGCCGGATCCGGCCCGTTTGAAATGAATAAAACTAAAAAAAAAAAAGACCGTACCCTTTTATGTAATGATGTTTACTTTGAATTTATATTAGTTCACACAAACACTCCATCCATGCTTTTGTTCCAGCCCTCCGGTCCAGTTTAAGAACCCATTGTGGTCCTCGAGTCAAAAAGTTTGCCCACCCCTGCACTAGACTTATCTTCTTTTATATTGCAAGTACCTTTAAAGTACAACTTACATCAAGTTTGCACCCTGTTTTATACTAGAGGCCCGGTGCATGAAATTCATGCACGGGTAGGGTCCCTAGGCCTGGCCGGCGATCTGGGCCAATCTGTGAGGTGACCAGCGGGGAGATCAGGGCTCCTGCTCGAACCCGCCGTGGCCTGGCGCCGCCCACTCACCTGCTCCACCATCCCACTGTGGTCGCACTCTCATTGGGGCCCAT